CACTACACATCTTCTAAAAGCATTCCAGGTTTATTAGTTTTGACTGATTTTGAAAGGCCTTTGATTCACTCTCATGAGGAATTTACATATAAAGTTTTGAAGTATTTTGATTTTGGTACATTGATTATAAACGTGGTTTAGATTCTGAATCATAATTTGAACGCTTCAGTTTTACAAAATACATTTTTATCTGGTCAGTTTGATATACAAAGAGGTTGCAGACAAAGTGATCCTGTTTCTCGATATTTATATTATGTGCAGAAATTATGGAATTTTTAATCAAACAAAATACAGATATAAAATGTATTAGTGTGGTAGATAATAAAGAACATAAATTATCCCAGTATACTAATGATACTTTTCTTGCTTTAGATAGTTCACAAAAATCTCCTTTTGCTGCTCTTGATTAATAGACTTCTATTCATTTTTTTTTTTTATTAAAAATCACTATTTTAAAAACTAAAATAGTATGGATTGTTTTAAAAAGATTCTTTAAGGAAGTTCTCCATCATACAAGGTGGAAACTAGAATAAGGAGCTGCAGATTTCAACTTACTAGGAATTCAATTCTCTGCTCATCTTCAAGACATTGTTGATATTAATTATAATTTACAATTACCTAAAATAAAAAGTTTTGATTAAACAATGGAAACGAAGAATCCTTACTCCAATTGGTCGCATAACTGTTGTTAATTAAAGACTCATATTTATGCCTGAGATTAATAATTAATTTATTTATTTACAACTCCTAGAAAGAGTTTATAGTTGATCGCAAAAAGATATTTTTAAATTTATATGAAAGTCCAAATCGGATAAGATTAAGCGATCCCTTGTATAGCAAGATTATCTTTCTGGGGGTCTAAAAATGGTCAACATAAATTTTTTTTATAATTCCTTAAAAATATTCCTGGATAAAAGGTTTACTCAAAAACAAAGATCCATGGATGGATATCTATTTTGCAATGAATGAGAAAGATGTTTTTGAGACTGAGAGGCCATTTCATTTTGGGGATCTGTTTATCTTAGAACATTTACTTCCTAAAAACAATGTTTTTTGGCAAGAAGTATTAAAATCATGGCTTGAAGTCATGAAATGTTTATATAATTTAGAAAATGTAAAAAAAAAAACAAAAAAAAAAAAACAAAAAAACAAAACAAAACAAAACAAAAAACAAACAAACAAAAAAAAACAAAACAAAACAATTTTCTAAATATCCCGGTATGGTACAATTCTAACATCTTGGTTGGAAATCAAAGTTTGGTATGAGAAAGGTATTAGAGTAATGGGATATTTTTTAGATGACTATGGAAATGTTTTTAAACTAAGATTCTTTATAACAACTGTTTTGCCTTTCATATAAAGATATGCATATGTAGATTATGCAATATAATAGTGTTCTTTCTGCAGTATCACAATACTTCAAATATATGTTCATTGACAGAACTTAAGGCGAAATCTTTCAATAGCTCTATGTCCTTTTACTTTGAATTGTAGCTTGAGACATTCATTATACTCCAAATTAAACAGACGTAGTGTTAAACTACATATGTTTAAAAATAGATTTTCATTTTAGGCATCTATGGGCATTGTTATTTTGAAATACATGGTTTCAAAGTTCGTTTTAAAGTAACAAGTGATACAGCTGTTCAATGGCTGCAGTTTAGAATATTGCATAGGATTCTTCCTGTAAGTTACTATCTTTAAAATTAAAACTACAGATTGCTGTGCCTTTTGTAAGAATGAAAGTGAAATAAAACATGTATTTTTATTTTGTAACGATATTTTGCCGTTGTGGAGTAGTCTTAGCCAACAGTTATATAGAACTACTTCAAAAAGGGTGGGATTTAATATTAACATTGTCATAATAGGGGGGTTCCTCTGTCAAAAAAATAACAGAATTGTAAACTTTATTATCTTACACAGGAAACAGAATATCTTTACTTGCCCGATGCAATAGAAAATGCTAAATTTCAGTGCTCTCTTATGCAATCTTAGAGTCAAGTACAAAGTTGAAATGTTTTTCAATCCAAAAGAATAAAACTTTAAATTTTAGTTCCAAATGGTCTACATTGAAACCTGTTTTTGATGAGCGACAGTTGAAATTATTCTTTTTTATTTTTTATATTTTCCCTTTTTCTTTTATATTTATCCTGAAATTTCCCTTTAAAGAATCAAAGTATATTCCCATGGGTACCAATTGCGCCCCGTTATTAGCAGACCTTTTTTTGTATTCATATGAAGCAGAATTTGTCCAAAATCTTGTACGTGAAAAGAAGAAAACACTTGCTGTGGCCTTCAACTCGACATTTAGATATATCGATGACGTATTGTCAATTAACAATGGCTATTTCCATTCTTATGTCGATACGATATATTTTTGTGAACTTGAGATAAAAGATACCACAGAGTCTGACACATCTGTTTCATATTTGGATATTTTACTTGAAAAAGACGTTAATGGTAATCTAGCAACCAAGCTTTATGATAAACGTGATGACTTTAACTTTTCAATCGTCAACTTCCCTTACTTATGCAGCAATATACCTTCATCACCTGCATGCGGGGTATATATCTCTCAGTTGATTCGATACGCAAGAGCATGCTCTACGTATGTACAATTTCTAAAACGAGGTAAATTATTGACAAATAAGTTGATGAAACAAGAATATCAGCTGTCTCGTTTAAAGTCTTCATTTCGTAAGTTATATGGTCGATACAATGACCTTGTCAGCAAATACAATTTATCATTGAGTCAAATGCTGACTGACGTTTTTCACACTAATTGTTAGGCCATTATTTACACACTGAATTGTCGACGGATTTTTCCGTTATTTCCCGATCATGACAAGGAGCACACGGCGGGTGTGACCGGTCGGCAGGGGATGCTCACTCCTCCATGGCACCTGATCCCACCTCTGATGTTTGGAGGTCCGTGTTTGCTCTGCTCCTATTTTGTATTGCTTTATGGACTTTTGAGCTTGAATACTGTTCGTTATCTCCAAACATTTCATTTAATAATTTGGAAAATATAGGTATAAGGTTTAGGAGGAAAAAGTGACAAACTGTAATTATTTTTATTATTTTTGACCTCATAAGAAAAAGGATGTAAATGGTGTGAGTGAGTGAACATTTGAGTATCTCATAAATGTAAAGATGTTTATTCACAATCACTTGGTTTACTATGAGAAAAATATAAATGAAAAAAAAAATGAGTGGAGAGGTCCAAAAGCCACTCTTGTTCCTTCTGAATTAAGAATCTATACTATCCAAGACTGTCCTGTCGTACACAGACAAGCCAGGTTTTCATCATCCTCTGTTCTCATAAATAACTTGTCTGCGTAAGGTTCATAAATAGAGTTACTCACAGAATGTAGAATGTCTTCTTCTTCACATATTCTTAATCTGATTTTGGCAAGGATCAAGTACTGTGCCTCTTTCATTAACAAACTTTTTTTTTTTTTTTTTTTTTTTTTTTTTTTTTTTTTTTTGACGATGACCTCCTAAACAAGTTTCCATCCTAATAGGAATTTCTGTGCATATGAGATATTTAGCTGGTCCGATACGTTGAGGGAAACATTATGAGCTTTACTGACTTCTTATCCAATCAGTAAGATAATTTGGATGTTGTCATCCAAAAGCCCTATATGCTGGGCAATGTAAGGTAAATGAGCATAGTTCTGAGCTCTTATTGTGTGTGAATTTCCTCGCAATTGTTAGAAAGATAACTGCAATTAACAGAAGCAGGGAGTTGGAGTAGGACAGTCTTATCCATAGATCCAACCACTATGCCACGGGCTCTCATATCGACAACTCACTCATTTCCTGAGCATGAGATGAGCATGCATTCTACATCCTGTCCCTGAATTTCAAGCGAGTCGAAGAGTGTGAACAGGCCTCCCCACTGGAAATTGATGTAGAGTCACTGATGGCGTATCGATATGTTAAGCAGTAGGATGACTGCAACTGTTTCATTCTTTGCATGACATTATCTTTTTACAGTCTTTCATGACATGAGTAGACGAGGGGTTCAAGCACAACATCGAGAAAAGCATATTTTCCTTTCTCTTTCAACTTTTCCTGAATACTCTTCAATCTAAAGGTTCTGCACTTTTTCAAAGGATGGTACGTATTATGTATTGGACACTTTCGAAACAGGGAAACTCGTTTTGAAATTTAGTTTTATTCACAACTTCTGTGATAATGAATTGACATTTTGTTTCCTTTGAAAAAAAATGTTTCATAGAGAAAACGGGTTATTCCTGATGTGTTCGCCATTCTTTCTTTGAAATTCAGCAAAATGGATGAAAGGTGCATATGTAGTATGTTGTTACTTCATGTATTTGATAGCTGAGGATGTCACTTTTGTTTTGGATTATGACATGCCATAAAATGAGTTACCATGAAATGGTACTGGGGATAACCTAGGACAGAAAGGGTTTTAGAGAGAAATAACTCGCTATCAGTTTTGTCTGTTAGAGATAATGCAAAGCAATGTATCTAATAGTATTTGCTACAGACCTGTTTCTGTATTCTTATGGGAAGAATTTGATCAAAAAACTTCTTCATAAAAAGAAAAGTCTCCTACTATGATAAATACACGGAATCTGACACGACTGCTTCATATTTTGAAATTTAACTACAGGAATGTATTAATAGCAAAATAGACAACTACACTTAATAATTGTGATGACTTCATCTTTTTATAGTCAGCCTCCCTTATTTGTATAGCAATAAACCATTTTGTTGTATACGATAAGATACGCCTCACAGTTTGTATTGCTACAAAGGAGCTTGATTACTGTTCGGTATCTTCATATTTTAGAGCACACACACACACCCTCACACACACGCTCTCGCTCGTAAAAGTAGTAAGTGTAAATTAATGGGTCAACTTTTGACCTTCTTAGTTTGTAATTGAAAAATAAGCACACATTAATTAAACGAACTTACATAAATCAGTCAAAAACATAAGTTTTCATAATTATCTTATTCTTGCAAAGGGAATGATGCAATCCATGCTTTAACCAAAGATGAGGACCAGGAACTGCGAGTAGAACTCCAGAGATTTAACGGAGAGACAGCGTATGCTGAATATTCCACGTTTTTTATCGGAAGCGAGACAACTGAATACCAACTCACAGTCTCCGGGTACTATGGAACTGCTGGTAAGTTATGTAATTTAAATGACTTATTTCATAGCCTTGTTGAAATGAATTCGTCTGAAAAATAATTTAAGATTTATATTTGACAGTCAATGGAAGAAATAACCTGACAATAATGATATATTTATGATTTAGATTCAGAACATTCAAAGATGGAAATATAGAATACCATCAAGATCATTCATTAGTTGTATGTTTGATTGATAAATTTGCATGATGTTAAAGATACCGATATTACTTTCTGGGTCGATTTAAAATAAAATTTTAAACTTTTCTTGCTTTCTATAGTTTTTGTGATATTACAACAATTTTACTATTTCATTTTAACTACTTTAGTTCATTCAAAACAAAGTATACAATTGAACAAGTTAAGTTGATTTATTCCAAAAAAAAGTTTTCAATACGCTGTCTAAAAATCATATCTTGAATTACACCTTATATTGTTTAAAGCGAAACCTCAACCTTTTCCTTATCCAAATTATACCCTAACCATTGACTATATATATATATATATATATATATATATATATATATATATTATATATATATATATATATATATATATATATATATATATATATATATATATATATATATATATATATATATATATATATAATACTGTATCTCACTTCCCTTCTCAATGACCGTGTAGTGACATCGAAAGCAACCGTTCACGGTAGCTCAGTCGGTAGAGCGCTCGCTCCGTGATCGGAAGGTCGTGAATTCGAATCTCGGCCGCGACTGACCTAAGTTGATAAAAAAAAATAGGTAGCAACTGTTCCTTCACCATGCACTCGGCACTTTGAGGTGAAAGTTGCGGGTCCTTCGGATGAGACCTTAAAACCCGAGACCCCGTGTCACGGCAGGCGTTGGCACGATAAAGGTCCCTCACTGCTCAATGGTCCTGAGTGCCGAATAAAGGTCAAATTTTGAAGCCCTTCACCGGTATATGGTGATATCTCTATATGAGTGAAAAATTCTCGAATGGGACGTAAAACAACATACAATCATTCAATCAATCGAAAGCAAGTTTGATATGCTTGCCTAGATGGCCGAGCGGTCTAGCACGCTGTTTCTGTACTGGAGACAGATTCCGTAAGTCGAGAGTTCAACCTTAGGTTTGGGTGGAAGTGGGTATCCTAATAAATTGTTGATTGTATATTGTTTTACGTCCCATTTGAGAATTTTTCACTCATATAGAGACGTCACCATATACCGGTGAAGTGCTTCAAATTTTGACCTTTACTCAGCACTCAGGGCCATTGAGCAGTGAGGGATCTTTATCGTGCCAACGCCTGCCGTGACACGGGGCCTCGGTTTTTAAGGTCTCATCCGAAAGACCCGCAACTTTCACTCCAAAGTACCGAGCGCATGGCGAAGGAACAGTTGCTACCTATTTTTTTATCGACTTAGGTCTGTCGCGGCCGAGATTCGAACTCACGACCTCCCGATCACGGAGTATCCTAATAAAAGTGAAATTGCTTCCTACGGGCCTGTAAAGATAGTGATGCAACCAATGGACAGAAGTATCCGAATTATTTATTTTAAAAAATCAGGATAAACACAGAAAAGAAAATTTTAGGTGATACATGCTCATTTTTTATCCAGTTGTTTTGTTACAAGGCCTTGTTCTATCATATGATTATTTTGATTTGAGAATTTGAAGTTTTCTAGACAATAGACCAGGACATTGAAAACCCAGTGTTGAAAGCTGTTCTAAAATTACTGTGATTTCTGGCAGAACATTTGAATGTTAATACTCTTTTCTAGATGATATCGTAGTTTATTACGATAGAATGCGTTTTAACAGAATACAGTAGTAGTAGTAGTACAATGCACTACTGATAACGATAAATGATTAACAATAAGTATTTCTTTCAATAAGCAATTTAAGCTTTAAAGTTAGCAATACTCTGTTATAGGAGACAGCTTATTTAATCACAATGGAATGAAATTCACAACAAAAGATCGTGAAAATGACAACGACATAGTTGGTGGTAACTGTGCTATTCAATGGCACGGAGCCTGGTGGTACAACGCTTGTCTCCACTCAAACCTGAACGGAGAGTACGCAAAGTCAGCTGTAAATAATTCAAAACACCCAATATGGTGGGACTGGAAATGGAATGAGGCGCTAAAGAAGACTGTGATGATGATTAGATACCAAAACTGAATCAGATAAAAGAAACCATTTTGGAAAAAAGGATTTTGCTTTAGTATGGCATGTTAACCTTTTAATATCAGATCTTTTCCGTTCGTATTGTATAATTTTCGATTTGTGTTACATAATTTTCAATTTGTTTTCTCTATTTTTTTTCATTTGCATTGTATAATTATCCATTTGTATTGTATAATTTTTCATTAATATTGTATCTTTTTTATTTGTATTGTATAATTTTCCATTTGTATTGTAAAATTTCCGCTTAGCATTTTGCAATTTACCATTTGTGTTACATAATTTCAAATTGAATTGCATAATTTTCTTTATATGCATTGGAGGCATTAAAATCACGTTGGATAAGAGGACTTACGCATTCCGATTTCAAATGGTTAGAATTACATCTAGCACAATAGTATACAGATAATAAATATCTTCGGCTGATTGGTCCAGACATTACTGCAAAATTATGTAAGAGAATAACAAACAATTTTGAGATACATGTCCTTAGAAAATGGTTAATTATATGTCTTGTAACATGAAATATGAAGATAACAAACAACAATCAATTTCAAAGGTCTATTGGAACAAAACGAGATGGGAGCAGAGCAAACAGGGATATTTACTCACATCAGAGGTAGCAGTGGCGGATCTAGATGGGGTACTGGGGGTGCCTCCCTTTTGGATTTGCTAAAAAAAGAAAGAAAGAAAGGATAAAAGAGAGAAAAAGTGAAGGAGGGAAAGTGAGAGAGGAGTGTCACAGATATCTGTTGTTTTATTTTTCAGAAACGGATTTGCTTTCGTCTAGTTTTACCACATTTTTTTTCATGAATTTTTTCATGCTTTACCGGTTTTAAGTCAACAACATAAACCTGATATTTTGAATAATTAATTCATGGATTATTTACGTGAAACGAGATATGGAAATTGACATCTGATTATAATTATAGTGTGATAGTATCAGAGTATCAGGACTTTTTTCTTAATATAGTTATTTTGCTTCAAATGCTGATTCCTCCCTCCTTTTGCCGCTGTTAGGTCGAGAACTCGCATATTCTAGGATTTGGACAGTTAATTAGGTTTTCTTCTTATTATTATTCTCTCTCTCTCTCTCTCTCTCTCTCTCTCTCTCTCTCTCTCTCTCTCTCTCTTCTTTGTTTTTTTTGCTTGTCAAATTTTTTGGCAAGTTAACCCCCCCTCCCCGTTTTTATTGGCTTGAATACTCCTATTAAGTCGTCGCTTAACTATGTTAACGTAAGGTATAACAGCTCTCATTTCCGTTTCAACCACCAACACCCCCCTTTGAAAAAAAATTCTAGATCCGCGCCTAGGTAGGATCGGGTGACATGGAGAAATTGTGGAACCTACAACAATTTTTAAGATACATGTAATAAGATGTTTGTTTAAGCCGATGATCATGTTTAAGACACTTCCAGTTTGGAAAATGCAGCTTTGGCCAGGGAGGATATTGAACTTCACTATTGTCTTATGATGAGAATGTCATGAAATTATAATTTATATATTTCACATAATAATATTGATAATTTAATTTTTTTCTGAAAATTATCACAAAAATAATGAATATTAATTAGCAAGTATCACGTTGTCTTTAATGCATGAATATGTTATACAGCATTTTTAACCATATGATTCACTTTAACTAAAGTTAAATTACGACGAATATTATCTATATATGTAATGACAAAATTAATTGAAGAATATTTATACCAGGAATATTTTTCTCATATAGTGACTTGCATTTACAATATACATCTTGTAAAAGTGGAAATGACTAACCAGATTTTCAAGCCCATACCAATATTGCTCATCATTGATCTTCTACTCTCAAAGTGTAGGGGAGATCAACCCATTTCAGAGTGCATAGCAAAAGTAATATATCCTTATCACCTGCATATGGTGTTTATATCTACCAGTTGATTCGATACGCAAGAGCATTATCTGTGTTCGATCAATTTTTAAATCGAGGCAAGCTATTAACTAACAAGTTGATGAAACAAGGATATCAGCAGTATCTTTTGAAGTCATCATTTCCCAATTTATTTTGTCGATAAAATGACCTTATCAGGAAAAATAATCAATCCTTAGGTCAAATGCCGACTGATGTTTTTCATACTTGTTGATATTCTATTATTTACACACTGAACAAAAAGTATGAAGATGAAGAACAGTTCACCGATCTTAAATAACATACAACAATTCAAATCTACCTGGGTGCCTGTATATATATCATCAACCCCCGACCCCAACCCCCATATTTTGTTTTCAGTGCATATATTTTAAGGGTAATGGAAATGGCTTCTAATTCTTTTGTATGTTAAAGGTCACGGTAAAATAAATCCTAGGAAAAAATGCATCAAAATCTATGCACAATTAAAGGAGATACCGGGTAAAACCCCAATTCACACCTTAGTGATTTTCTTAATCGAGGTTTCAGGCCTTTGGCCACTGTTATATCACTACATGGACCAGCCATTTTGAATACTAAAAAAAAAAAAAAAAAACTGGAAGTTATGCTGATGTTTCAGCGATTCGTTTACTTTGTAGTGACTTTAACAATCAGCAAATTTAAAGTTTCTGTAGCATTAGTTTCAAGTTATATTTCTACCTAATATTATATACTTATTTCTGTGTGTAGTTAATAAAAATGAAGATATACTAGAAAACCGTCATGCACTTGCTAAATAAAATTATAATAATTAATCGTTAATTGACGGTTTTCATGATTGTTTTTCTATATCATATCATGTTTTTATGCCCCTGGATCGAAAGATCCCGGGGGTGTATTGTTTTTGTCCTGTCTGTCTGTTTGTCTATTTGCATGTCTGTCTGTTGTCAACTTTAACCTAGCCCATAACTATTGCGGTGTTAAGGGTAAGGCTTCAATATTTGACATGAGTGTTTATTATGACAAGACCTTTCCTTGGGTACCACAATATATGACCTTTTGACCTTGACCTTGAAGTTAGACCCAGTTTTGCAAAAATTTTACCAAACTTTAACCTTGGCCATAACTTTTGAACGGTTGATACCAGGGCTTTCAAACTTCACATGTGTAATCCTTGTGACAAGACCTTCCTTTGGATGCCAACAACTTTGACCCTTTGACCTCGACCTTGGAGTTTCCCCTACTTTTGGAAAACTTTAACCTTTGCGATAACTTGTGAACAGTTGGTGCTAGGGCTTTTATATTTCACATGTGTAATCTTTGTGACAGACCTTCCTTTGGATGCCAACAACTTTGACCCTTTGACCTTTTGAGAAAAACTTTAACCTTTTCCATATTTGTTCAATGGTTGCTGCTAGGCCTTTCATATTTCACAGGTTTATTCCTCGAGACAAGACCTTACTTTGGGTATCAACATATTTGATTTGCATTTGAGAAAGTTTAACCTTTGTTATAAATTGCCATACGGGGGCATCAGTGTTTCTTAAATATGTTTTAACCATCATAAAATTCTATAATAAAATATAGAATAAAAATAGTTTCAATAATGAAAACGACCTTAACGGGACACAGATGTTTACAATAAAATATTCTATTCAATTATATATATATATATATATATATATATATATATATATATATATATATATATATATATATATATATATATATATATATATATATATATATATATATATATATATATATATATATATATATATATATATCACTTACATGCCCTTGCTATTGATATTTATAAATAATGAAAAATTATATTCAATGCGTGGATGTCATTTAGCATTGAAAAGCAAGGTTAATTCATTTCAGAGAGAGAGAGAGAGTATGAATTCCTTCTCACTTGTATATATTCTGTATCAATCTTATCAAATCTTATCAAATATTTAATTTTCGTTCTCTGCTTTTTAACAATAATTAAGTAGCCAATTTTTTTTCTTCGTTTTATTTTCCAGTCATACAATCTGATGTGTTTTTTTTTTCAATGTAACACACGAAATCCACGTGGTTCACCTGTCAATCAAAATTGCTCCCTATGCGCTTGACTGCTGTGAGTCTTCAAAGATTCTTTGGACTCATTCTGATTTCACACCTTTCTCAAAAAGATATTGTGGGACATAGCCAGAGGCGTTGTATGTTTATTATAACTTCTTTCAGTCTCGACACACCAAGTGTATTTAACAACTCAAACATCACATGTTCATTTACTGAGTAAGTGTTTGAATTACCCCAGTCTGTACAATATGTTTTATAAAAATATTTTACCAAGCGCAATTAACATATGGAATTGCTGAGTGATTTCTTGTTTAATTTTAATTAAATAATTTATATATTAATATAAGAAAAAGAGGGGAGCTCTTAGGTAGAAAAAAAAATTGATTAATTTTCCGCTATATCCATCGATCATGATATATGTAGATCATAACACATGGGGTTGTAAGCTGGACCTTTCATCTAAAGTTTCATAGTATATTCGATGTAAATCTAAGTGCGCAGTATAAATACTGTATATTATTAATATTTTCTATTTATTTACACTTCACTACCAATTTTGAATAATATAAATCGATATCTTCATTCATAGTCCATCATATTAATGATTGTACAACACGTTTATACAAGAAGACACCTCTCATGAAAGGGGAAAGGGGGAAGGGTAGCAAGATTAATTCACGCTAAATCATACGAGTTTAGACACTGCATGGGTTATTCAAGTAATAATATATTTCAACTTGAGTGTAGAAGTACTTATATTCCTGCCGTATTCCAATTAATTAAAATTATTTATATGGTCTAATTTTAGCAAAATAATCTCTACAATGAATATATTTGGTGGCTATCATTTTGAAAAGAAAATCGTGCTGCTAACTGGAAAAGAGTATCAGTTTACATGTTACATCTTTAACATTTAAAAGCATGGCGATCCCTTTTCTTTCCCCTTTAAATTAAGACGGGCACTTATTGCAAATAACTCATGATTTAGATTCCTATGTTTATTAATTGACTTTTCTTTTTATAATACAGAATCTCGCTT